CCTGGAAGAGCATAGGAGAGCTCCTTCTTGAGTTAAGGCAGGGAAGAAAACAAAGGAGGGAGTGGAGAGGTGCCTACTGGAAAAGTCTTGTTAACCAAACCACAGCACTATCCTGCAGTAGAATGAGCACGTGAAGGAGAAAGTTTATAATTCAAGGAGGATTCAAGTTTATAATTTCAAGGAGGATTTCTTGAGAATGCAGCTACCTGGGCCATAGCAGTGGTATGGGACAGGATAAAAAGTGAGTGTTTCAGGGCAGGAGCTACCTCCTTGTCACAAGATTCAATACTGCCATTTTCAATATTGAAAATGTATTAAAATACAGCTTATAGGTAGACCTACCCTCAGTCCAGACTCAAAGGCTTAGATATATACATTTAGAAAAACACCCAAATGCTATCTTCAGCCATATCCTTCGTTCTCTTTTCATACTGGCCAGTTTGCTGTGGGTAAAAGCCTGCCTTCCTTGTGACAGAGGGAAGGGCACCTTCCCCCATAAAAAATACTTGGTGTGCAGCATCTGCAATGTGAAGTCTGGAACAGCTGCTGCGAGCCCAAAAGGTGGCTTGGGGTACCACCAAACGTGCTCCTTAGGGTGTTCATCACTTTAATACCTCTGCAATTTTGCCAAATAAAAATGGATGTCCAGAGACCTCCCTCTGATGTTGATCCAATCATTGCACAGCCCAACACGGAGAAATCCAGCTACTGTCACTTTATTTGTCTTCATGCCTTGTGGTTCACTACACTTGTTTACAATACAAATACACTATTCAATACAAAATACTCAATGACCATATATTAGTACTTTTCTTCATAGTATCCCTGAAGTGCACAGGCCCTTCCTTTATAAACAATGTTGCATAAACGGCTGTACATGAGACAGACACTCCTCTAATGAAGCTCGGTACTAAAAGAAGCCAGATGTGGACACTTGGGACGTTTCCCTGTGGTGGGTTTAATTCTGGGACAGACAAATGGCGATGTCTGTGCTGCTGTGGAAGGCTGTTTTATGCTATTCCCTTGTCAAGGTTCTCATGGCCCAGAAGCCAGGTGCAGTACCAGGAGCAGATGTGCAAAGTGGCACCTGTCATTCCCTGTTCCAGCCCTCCTGTGCCTTGCTGGGGCTGCTCCCGCCGAGCCAGTGCAGGGGAACCGGAGCACCCACGGTCCAACACCGCTGTCTGAGACAGACTTGGCCAAATTACCACAGCCCTGGGGCTTCCCACCCATGGTCCCTGCACCTCCTCTGGCTGTGGCCAAGCCCCTCTCCCACCCTGCTCCCTCACTGTGCCTCAGGGCAGCAGAACCACCCTCGCTCCTGCCCTCGCTTCATTCCCAGGCACATGGTGGAGAAACAAGGTTCAGGGGCACAAAGGGAAGATGATGGGACAACTGGAAAGGTAGAGACAGGCATCCCAACCTAGTTTACCTCCAGCAACTCACGGAATCAGAAACCTACTTATCTTCTATAGGAAACCAGGTAACATCCAGATGGAAATAAGCCATTTTCAGAGCATAAGAGGGGTAGCACAGGGTTTTTTCCCTGCTGTCCTTTACGTCCTGTAGATCATACTGCTTCCTGCTTTTCCACTGCAGAATGAGGAAGACATAAGTGAGAACTTCATTATTACCAACACAAAATATTAATGGTCTTAAAACAAGTTCCTTAAAAATAGACAGTGTGTCAATAAACTATAATTTAAAAAATAAGTCATAGACAAAAATGGGTAAGAGGGTTAAAATAACTTGAATTTGTTTTTCTCCTAGCATGGAGGGGTTTGATAGAGGAATTTGGGATTTACGGACTGTTTTGGTCTGGTGAGCCCATGGTGACTTAAATCCCTTCTGGTCCCTGCAGCTCTGAGTACTGAACAGGTGAATTGTCCTAGACACACAAATTAAAATTTCTGGTTCATGCTCATGGCAACTGCAGCCTGAACACAAGAAACAGAGCACCCTTTGGTTCAAGCACTTAATGGTAGTATTTGTTTTCTAAGAAAGAGGACAGGCTCCAGTTCTTGTTTCTAAGAGAGAAGATTTGATTAGCACCAATATTTACAGAACAGGTTTTGCAATCTGGGGTGCAGTGCTTGGGCAGCACACAGGGATACCAAACTAAATGCTTGCTGTGGAAGAGTCAGAAATGCTATGGTTTTAACATTAAAAATAAACCCAAACTGGATTGCTGAATTCCAAGAGTTAAGAGAGAGGGATGAAAAAAAAACCCAACCCAATAATACAAACAAACCTCAAAACTCCAACCAACCAAGAGAATCAAAACCATTAAAGAACCCACAACAAAGCATTTTGCACTGGAGACACTGGAGGGAAGCTCACTTAGAAGCAGCTGCCAGTGTTGAACAGTATTTATCTCAGTGCACTGTACTGGAGAATACTGCTGTCTCAGTGCAGAGCAGACTGGAGAATTTCGGCAGTAATTCACTATTTCCCCAGTCAGAATTCTCTCTTGACATATTCCTTTGGTAAGAAGAAGGAAAGTGTTTAGCTCCTTCAATTTTTACAACTCCCATTCTGTTAGAGTATTTCAGTGGAAATTCTATGATCAAATAACTGCACAGCACAAGCCCAGAGCAGCAACCACACTCTCACCATGGCTGGGAGAGCCTGCCTTTCACACCTACAGACTTGAAATCCTCTCTTGTTGCTTGTGCTTTTTAAGTTTCTTTAGAAATGCCACCTTTAACATCATAACCTGGCAGCTTATCTGCATTTGTGCAGCATTGAAGCTGCTGTCCCAGATCCAAGAATTAAAAATTTCAGCTAGTCAAAGATCATTAACTTAGCAACTTTTTGTTCTTGTGCATTCTTTTGAAAACACTCATCAGTAAACAGGTCAGCTTCTGCCCTCAGTAACTTTGTAAGGCAGCAAAAACTCAGTGTTTTTTGTTGGCTTGCAAAGAAAAGCCAAAGAAAAGAACGAGGAGGTTCAGCTCTTCTGAAAATGAGAAAGCTGGAATACTTAAATGAAAACGCTACTAGTACATTATTCACATACATTATATGTGAATAATGTACTAGTGTAATAAATTGTTCAGATAGTGCTTGCCTCCTGAATTAATCAGCTTTCTTGAGACTCGAGAAACAACCCCACTGAGTTTACTGAGCTAGAGAGAGAGACTGGTGTGACACTAACACAGTCCTAAGCTAGAGAGAATCCCTCCCCAGTGGCTATTTCACAGCAAGAGATGTGAGCCTAATAACCTTGGAGATGACAAATACCCTCTTAGCAGAGCCTAAAGAAGCCTGTAAGTATAACCCTTGTTATCTCCCCTAACCCATGCAGCAGCAGTGGGATGGATCTCTAGCAGATGAACATGAAATTCAGAGCAGCCCCGGAACCAAGATTCCCAACACATGAGCGCAGCCCATTAACCAGTCACCACATCTGCTTTTGGCTTTGGTCTAAAAAAAGGATTTAATTCTGTGTATCAGAGACATCAGAAAGGCAGATTAAGAGAGCACACTAATGCACCCCCTGCAATGTGTTTTTTACGTGGGGGGTGGCCCAAGCCAAATCCTCCAATTTCAGTCTGCCCATCCCAAATTTTAGGATATACAGGGACTCTGGTTTGTTCCCTTATGAAGACATGAAGCTTACCTCAATGTTTGGATCCAGGGCCAGACTCTGGGTCACGTCACTGAAACGAAGAGTCTCAGACTGAAGAACACCTTCCCACTCCTTTGCTGATGCTCCAGTACTCCCATTTCTATGGAAATAAGCACCCCTTTTTTGGATAGTGTTCATGCTAAAACAGCTCCTCCCAACCCTAAGGTGAAGTTACTAATGCACATCTTTACACATGAATTATTTCCTACATCTATGTTTTGACAATACACTTAACTGGAATATTTTTCATGCACAGGGTGTACAAAGTGAGTCAATGGAGTTTTTGTCCTTAAACCACTATCATACATGTATTTTGTCGAAGGAAAAAGGGCTCTAAACCCTTCAATACAGAGAGTATCTGGCTTCCAGACAGTGGCACGATGTAGTCTTCTGCCTTTATGGTGTTGTTTGTACAGGGTATGTCAAAGGCTATTTCAAACCTTCAGTGTATGAAGGTGGCTGTCCATTTTCAGGGCATGGTGAAAGTCTCTCTCATGATCATGGTCCTTTAAAGCTTCACCTTGATTCCACTTGACACTCACATGTTCCTGATGAAGGGCATTCCTTCTTTTGTAGGACAGAAGGAATTTTAAAGGGTTTTACTCGGTTCTGGTGCTTAAGCATAGGTAAACAAAAACAAACCAAAGAAAACCCCAGCCAAACAATGCCTGCCCCCTGAATGCCTCATAGTATCTACACCCCATCCTCTGCCTCCTCTCCTCTCCCCTTCAAGTGATGCAGTGTGACCAGGGTTTTTCCATTGCCCTGCCAGCACCCCCACAACACTGTGCATTCAAGGACTTTCAAAGACTGGACTGTAGCTGGAACAAGACTTGAGAACGTGCCATCGTGTCACCATTCAGTGCTGTCGTATTTTTATTTTTTGGTTTGGATAGAGGACGCTCTTCCCAAACCCACTACAAGCTCTGCCAGCAGCAGGAGACCTCCAAGTCTTCCACAGCAACGACAAGTTTGGCACGGAAAAGCCCAGACATGAAAAACACTCATGGCAGTGAGCCGCGGCTTGACACGGAAGCAGAGGACGCACAACTGGGAAAAGCTCACAGGAAGGGCATGACGACAACCATGCGGATGAGTTGATGCAACAGCAGCTGGGCCTTGCAGTTAACAACAGTTCCCTGCATCCTCCCTCCCCCTTGTTCCTTTGACTCTACTGGGGCTCCGGTGGTTTGAAGCCTCTTGGGTTAGTAGAAATTACAGCGTCAAGGGTGGCACTTTTGGAGCAAGTTTACACAAAATAGGAGGTGATGCTGTCAGATGCCTTGCTTGTGGTGTGTTGGGTAACAGGACATCTCTTCAAGGCTCAGGGGCCACAGGGGGGGAAAAGTCAAGAGAGGGTGGAGGGCTCTCAGGGCCCCTGCTGGGTTATGTGGCTCTTGTTTCTAAGGACAGGGTCCTCGTAACTGCTAGCGCAAGGTGGTGTGGAGTTTTCCAAGGGTAAGCCCTGCTGTTGGTATCCGTAGTTGACGTTCCCACAGGGGAAGTGGCGGAGCCTAAAGAGAGGCACTTCTTTAACACTTGCAGTTAGGGAAGATGGCTCTAAGAGCAGGGAGGAGCCTGGCAGCCTGCCAGTCACAATGTTGGGCCCCACAGTACAGTTTCCTTCCTGTCCCAAATTCTCCCTCTCGGGCCTCTCCTTCTCCAGCAGAGAACTGTTTTTGCTGGCCTGCTTCTCTGCAAACCAGGAACCGTAGGTTGGATTCCAGAGGTTGGTGGGCTTGTTTCTGGAGCCCCGGCTTTTGTGAAGCTCGGAAGGGGGATTGGACTGAGCATAGGCCATGTTGATGTGTCCTCCCCCTGTGGCTGACTGCACCTTCCCCGGCACTGGCTGTTCCAAGGCTCCCACTTTCCCTAGAGATTTTCCAGCAGTGATGGCTGACGGCAGGGGTGGTGGAGATGGCAGGGTTTGCTTATCATCCTTTCTGTCTTGGTGTGTTGAGACCAAGAGAGGAGGAATTCCTTCTGGATCGTCAGGGCGCATCGCCACCTTCTCCTCCTCCTCAGCCGATGGGCCGTATTCTACCGGCAAGGCCGTGTTGATGACATCGGGGTCCTGGGATCAGAGGAAAACAATCAAAGATCAAAGGGAGCAATGGGAATTGCTCAAAGTCTGCAGCCACCAGACATTGAATGACACATCTAGCAGCTGTCATGCTGTGATCTCTACACATGCCACCACCCAGAGCTCACATTCCATGAGGAGGGGATGCAGACAAAGTACAGTTAGGTGTGAGACTCAACAGGATATCCTTAAAATCCAACTCTTTAAAAGAAAGTAACCCTTAAACTCACCATAGAACAGCGGAGGCACAAAACCAATGAAAAGCATTTTTTATGTCCAGCAAAATTTCCTGTGGGAATGTTTTTTGGAATCTATATCCTCTCAGAGTTCATAACACTCTCAGATAATATTGAGAAAGTTGGAGCCATGTAAGTATTGCTATTGCCTCCACACAACAAGGGAGAAAGGGAATGCAGAGTGAAGACAATACTGTCAGACCCTTGAAGCCCAAATCCATAGGGACTGCGGCTCTGAGCTAGTTAAGCAGTTTTGAAAATTAAACTGAGAGAAAATGTGGTGATCCTGGCAACCTTTACTTATTGCTATATGGCATGGCAAGCTACAGATAGCAGAAAAAAATGCCTCCCAATCCCAGGATCCAATCACACACAAAAAACAGATCAAGCTTCCCAAATAGCAAGGGAAAGCAAACCGACTGAAGCGAACAACAGTGACATCATACAAGAGGAGCCTGCACTGATGCAGGTAGGAGAACATTTTCCAGACTGCTCTATTCCTCACAAGCTAAAGTGGTGGTAAAAAAATAAGTAAATCAGATTTTGGCCTGGAAATCCAGCCACATCTTTTCCCTGTTGCCCAACCTAAGAATCCCCACTCCTTTAGCCTAGCCATCTCTACCTGCCTTCTCCAGCGCTGTCAGATTCAAAAAAAATGCCAACAGCTGCTGAAACCACCTGCAAAGGGTGCTCTGAGCTGGGGCCAGTTCTGTGCAGTGCTGACTATGCTTTAAGGGCTGGAGTGGCTGGGATGAGGAATGTGAAAGCAGTGCAGGTGCTGGCCTGTCTTTGCTCTTTTGCTTGTTGGAATCTATGCCTCTGTAAGCAGAATCAGTGCTACAGTGTGCTCTTTGTAAAGCTGCGTAAGCCTTTGTCAGCCTGTGTCTTTCAGCAGCAAAAGACAAAAAGGGTCAAGCACCTGATGAGGTCAATATCCCAGCCAGGGTCCCAGGCTGACACTAGTCTCCCTGGACTGCTGACTGCAGTATTGCAGTGCTGCCTCCTCATCTCTTGTCTAGAGACAAGACAAGCTTGTCTGGCTTGTCTAGACAGCTCCTCAAGAAGAACCCTCTCCACCCCCGCATTCGAGGTGAATGAACAGCGATACCTGAGTGCAGTACTCAATCCTCTCCAGGATTATGGCAAAGTTTGGCCGGTCTTCAGGCTGGTGCTGCCAACACTGGGTCATAATGCGGTAGCTGGAAGGGCAGAACAGGAGGCATTCATGAACGGCAGATCCCATGGGATGTGACAGCTCATGGCAGCTTAGGAATCACAGACAGACATTCATCACCATTCTCACTTCTAACAAATAAGAGTTCTCTGCCTTCCCTGGAGTTAGGCAACTGATGCACTGGTAGCCACTGGAATGTGACCACCAGTGGGGTGAAATCCACAGTCTTTCAGAGAAATTACTCATCCACCTGAAATCCCTTGGACAATATACTAAAGGTAGGCAGGGCTACAAGATAAAGGAGCCCAGTTTTCCCTGCCTGTGAACAGTCTGATGCATTGAAGTTTCACAGCTAACCTAAGATAGAGAAATATTGTGTCACTTTTACAAAAAAAGCAGTGGCCAGGACTTCTCAAATGGGCCCTGAATTACTCTCCAAAACAACAGAAAATTTAAATATTAGAGAAATCACTGGCACTAAAGTTTAATCAAGCAAATTAGCCATGATTAGGTCAATCTTAAAAGTCATTGACTTTTGAGTAGAGAAAAAGCATTTGAAACAGAAACGTAGTTGCATGAATATATGAAAATTATAAATCTCATACACAGGGCCAGGGCAGTTTTTAGGTGGATCCATCCTTCCTCCATTGGTGACAAACTCCAGAACCTCCTGGTTGCTTTTGCTGGGGTAGGGCATATATCCCAAAGAGAATATCTCCCACAGTAATACACCAAAGGACCTGAGTACAGAAGCAAAGGAAAATGAAGTGAGGGATACTGGAATGACCATCAGCAGTGGGCAATGCCCTTAGGTTCAATACTATCAGCATTGCTCTTTGCAACCTTTGATCAGGCAGCTGGTGGAAATCCTGATGTAGGATTCAGACATAAATAAGCTGCACAGTTGTAACAGTGAACTTTAAAACTTTTAACAAATACCAGTAGCTGACTGTTAGGTGAGTGAAGCCTGTGATGTAGGCAGGTAAATATGGCTGCTTTACCCTTGTACTCAGCACTGCTAAGCTGGAGGTAACAAAAGTTTCCTTTTCTGAGACTGACCACTGCTGGAGACAGGAGTTATGACAAACTTTTCCTCTGGAATAGCTACCCTGCATGAAATATCACACTGGTGAATCCCCACTGATGCTCTGAGGTCCACAGGCCCCACCTGTGAATCAGAGTACAATAAAAACACTCCCTAGCAAACACAGCCCTGGGCCTGGGTGCTGTGGCCTACAAAGCCCTAGGGATAGTGGCTGGGACAGGACCTGCTGGGACTGTTCCTCCAAAGCATTCACCTGGTCAGTGGAAACCACGAGCTCATTGGTTAAAATCATAGAAGAGATGTGCAGCGATGGGAAACTCCTCTGCCTGGTGCTGAGACAGGCAGAGCTCAGCTGTACAAGAGTGTGGACCTGGTCCCTCTGCCAGGGCTTGTTCAGGAGCTGTATCCTGGCCACCAGCCCCTTGCCCCTCCACAGGCTCCCTGAGCTCTTGCCTCCTGCTCACCTGATTTTCCTCCCCACCTCTGGCCACTCTGGAACTCCAAGTGCTGCTGTAGGCCAGGAGAAAGGCAAACCCCAGAATGTATGACACCCTTCTCCCTGACTGATAGGATGGATCGTGCCTGTAGCCTCCCATGCTGCTTTCCTCAGTGTGGGACTAATGCCTTCCTCCCTGGAGCAGCAGCTGCATCTGCTTTGATCTCCCTTCCCTGCTTGCTCATCTGCCCTGCAGCACCCACCTCTGCACAGGTCTGACCTTTCTGCTCCCTTGTCTCAAACACTGCTGGCTCTGAAAGACCCAGCTTATCTTTTTAGTATGGCAGTAGTGAACAAGAACGTGTGATTTTTACAAAGCATTGACAGTTTACAAAAGAGGTTACAACAGAGACAGACGGGACAGCGGAGGAAAGGAAGCGCACCATGTGTCTGTTTTTGATGTAAATATCCCTTCCATGAAAGCCTCAGGAGGCATCCATTTGACAGGCAACATTGCACACCCACCCTTACGATAGTAGCTGGCTCTGCAAAGAATAAACAAAACAAAAGAGTCAGCCAAGAATTCAGAAAATTCCATTAATATGGGATTCTTGTAATTACAAATATTAAAATTATGAGCCAGAAGAGAGACTAATTTAGGTGGAACAATCTAAGTGCTGAAATGACCTGTTTCTTCTCATAAAAGTAGTGGAAAAGAGCAAACCATGGAAGTGCAGTTTAATCTACATCACTTCAGGCCTGATCTGGTAAACCAGTTATCCTCATCCTCCTAGGGAATTACAAACAGAGTAACTGCTGCTGGCAGAGCCTCCTCCTGCCCTTTTCAACCACAGCAAGATCTCCTCATCTCACACATAGTCGGTCATCTTGGGCATACCCAGCAAGAATAAACTAAACCTATGCTATACATACCCAGTCTAAAGCACTGAAGTAAAATCCAAACCCCTTTGTAGGAGCTTGTTGAGGAGGATGCCAGGTTATTACAGTTAGGACAGTAGCACAAAAATGTTCCTGAGACAGGAGTTACAAGAGTCCTTTAAAGTCATTGACATTTAAAATAAAACCTGAAAGCCCCAAATCGCATCCTGGCAGTTGCAGGGGGCTGTTCATGCAAGCTGGTATCACTGATCATAACTGCACAGCCTGAGCATCCAAAGGATGTTCCTGGACCAAGAAATGCATGCAGGCTTCAAAGGCCCCTTTGAAAACTCAGCACCAAAGTGTTCATCTTGGCAGTCAGTTCTGCCAATTGTGTGAGGGTGACAGATGCTACTTTGTCCCAGCAGAGCTCCATCTGACAGTGGGACAGCATGGGGGCTCTTTGTGCAGGAAAAAAGCCCAAGAAGCTCTGTTTCACTTGGGTTTTTGAAGGTAGCACTCTGTTTGCATCACCTCAGGCTGTGATACTGTCAGAACTCAAGCTAAGCAGAGCCAAGCCTGGCTTAGTAATTGCACAGGAGAATCCCCAAGCAGGAAAAAAAGAGGGCAAGGCACTGGAATAAACTGTGTGGGTGACTGAGCACAAGGCATTCCTTCTTCCAAATCAGGGCAAATCAATTCCTCAGCACAGCAGGGTATGGAGCTGCACTTCTAGAGGTGCTCTACGGAAGATGAGACATCAAACTGCAGCCCTGACTGCTTATGGTCATTAAAGATTTTTTGGCACTTCTTGCAAAGAGCAGAGGTATTTAACCCCATGTCCTGGCTGAATTCCAGTTTGGGTGATTACATTTTTCTGACTTTCTTCTGCACCTTCCTCCTTTAGCTGCAGTAAATTGAGGAGATTTACTGATGCCACCGAACCAAAGGTGCAGGGGTAGCGTCAAGGAGAGAGATTAAACTCAGAATGATTTGGGATCACAAAACAAAAGGGCACATCAATGCCATTCAGTGTGGAGAAGGTAAGGAATAGAAACTGAGGACAGGGTCTAAGAGGGAGGAAAAACACCTTCCATGACCATTAGACTGATGGCAGGAGAAAACTGTCAGGAGTGGGAAAAGTCTCCAGGACAGTTTAAGGTGAACACGAGGAAGGCATCAGCTGGGATTCACCAGGATGGGACCTCTCCACTCTCACCTCACCAAGGTTACACAGAGCAGCACAAGAGCCTGCACAAACACTGCTCCTCCCTCATTTCAGTGACCTCCCACTTGCAGGTACCCAGGACTTGGCTCTGCTACCTGTATATATCCCGGGCCATTCCAAAGTCTCCAATCTTAGCCACTCTCCCAGGCCCTCGACAGGTAAGGAGGCAGTTTCTGGCAGCAATATCCCTAAAAGGAAAGGGAAGAAAAGAAACAGAAAGAGAAGAACCACTTAATCATTTGACAGTTTTGCAAGTCAAGAAGAAAACAAAAAGTAGTACCTACTTTCCTGAGCTGCAGAGAACCTAGAACAGCCAGAAAAGTCAGTGTTTATGGATAATTGCAATGTCCCCAATTCCAATCTATCCCCACAGCAGGAACAGTTTTGTTGTTTAACATTTTCTCTTTAAACTTCACATAACATTTCTAGTTGAAAGAGTAGGCCTCCTGTAATCCTCCCTTCACTCCAGGAGCTATTTTTATGTCTCTAAGGAGTGCAAGAAGAGGAGCTGATTTCAGCTAGTCCCAACATCAAGGTGTCTAGGGAATGATCCACTGATCTGTTCCTACTGTGCTTGTTGTCAGAAGGCTGTTGTACTGCCAGAGACAGGTAGAACAACAACGTGCAGGTGTTGCTCTGAATACTCTGAAGCTGTGGGCTTGAATCTGTGTATGCAGGTAAAACTCCAAGCTCCACCTCTGCTGGGCTGGAGTAAACTTTGAGGTCTGAGTAACACAATGGCACAACTTGTGTGTGACTATTAGAACTGTGATCTGCTACCTCTCTACCCATCTCTACCCAGCAGGCAGATTTTAGATGCTTGCCAAACACCCTGTTTTGCAGGAGCAATGATCACCTGATGTTGCCCTTGTGGCTGGGCTTGTACAGATGTTCTTTGGGAGAAAGAAGAAAAAGCTTCCAAAATGAGCAGACAGGCACTAAATAAAATTCATTACAGGGAGAGCTTTAAAGACTTCTGTCACAAGATGTTGTCCATTTGCAGAGTAGCCAAATAGGCTACTGAGACAGGGCTCAGGATCTCTGGCAAAACTACAGAACTTTGTCAGCCTGATTTATAGCAGCTCTTCTATTGTTTCTATGACCCTGATTTTGTCTACCTTGTTGAAAGGTATCCAGCCACTAGAGTGCAGCAGGACATAAACATACAGCGCAGGGCATTACGAGCCCTGTTGGTCTGTCTGCAAGCCCTGCCCAGGCTGTGCTCACCCACCTGTGGATGAAGTGGTTTTCCTCCAGGTACTGACACCCACAAGCAATGTCACGGGCTACGTGCAGCAAGTCCAGCATGGAAAGGGAGGAGGGCTGATTCTGCCAAAAGACAAGGGACACACATGGGTTAAAAGCAGAAACATGGTGCGAGACATTGCTGATACAGCGCTGGGAGCTCTCCAGCAAGTGATGTACCTCTGATGTTACCACACAAAGGGATTAGGGAAATGCACAAGAGAGAGTTCATTCCCATGAGCTGTGAAAGGATGTGCAGACACAACGTTATACAGATCCCAGAGACAGAATCAGAACAGACAGAATCAGCTGGATCTGACTTTCCAGCTCCATTGGGATGTCCCTGTAAGAATTTCCCCCAGTTCTCATGGCAGATTCTTCTGAATTTTCAGCATGATTTTTGAACTCTGTAGCCTGAACTGTTCTTCACTGAGTTTCTTTGTATTATTGCCAGCTCCTCTCTAAAGTCACCTTGAACCACGGGAATGACATTTTGTATAATGGCATGAGTCACATTTGCTCTTTCCCTCCTCCACATCTGTGTAGGTTTTATCTTGCCCCTTAGAGCACTGGCACAGTTTTGTGTAGCCAATGGCTGTGGAAGACTAAGGCTGCCAACTCCTTGTTCCTGTCCCTCTGATGGAGTCCACAGCCCTTGCCAGGAGGAGCCAGATGCTTTAGTGGAAAGGACAGGATTTGCACTGGCACTTCTCAGCCCCTGAAGCCAAGCCATCAGCTGCTGCCCCGAGGTGTGAATCAGTGATGCCCGAGGTGTGAATCAGTGATTCCTGTGGTGAGATTCAGTGGTCCCTGTGGCCAGTCCTATGGGAGAGCAGGAAAGTGCTGCTGCCAGTGGAGTGATGAGAAACAACTGGGCGGCAGTGACTGCTCATGCTGCGACAACCATTACATAGCTAAATGTTTATCAGCCTTAGTTACTGGATCACACAAGCTCATCACACTCCTTAGTGCTCTCTTCGGACACCAACCAATCAGCCAAAGTCCCCAAAGGGCACAGCTGCCCTTGGGGCTCTCACACTGGTGCACAAATCAGCATCGCTTCTCCAGTGACAGGGACTGCTGGCTCTCCAACCCATCTGTTGTAATGAAACGTGTCTCCAGATGGATGCAATGCTGTGCTGGCCATCTCTGATCTAAACCACTGCAAACTGGGACTGGAAACAAGTCCAGGCTATGCAGCAGCCAGTAGCTAAACAGTGGTCATAGGCTGATAAAACTAAAATACAATAAACTAACAAACAAACAAACAACAACAACAAAAACCTCCAAACCCAAACGTAAAAAAAACCCAATAAACAATTTAATGTCCTCTGAAGATATTAGGAAAAAAAAATCTGGCCTTAATAATTGACTGATGAAATAATTGAAAAATGGTGCATCTCTGTGTGAACAAAGCCTGTTTTGTTCAATGCAGGGCCATAAACCAAAATGTGATCTTGTTCCACCTGCCCATATTTTATTATTTACACAATATAGTTCATTGCATATATATACTTCACCGATTTTTTAAAACACTGGACTCCATCACCCCTTATATACTTTCCTCTTTACAGAATATCTATTTTCTGCAAACATAAAGCAGCTCTTTCCCTGCCATTTTGTGGGGAAGGGGGAATAATCTCTTTTACCTCTGTGAGTTAGTGACTCACCAGCTAAACAAGACGGCTACAGTAAGAAAGAATGCATGTCTTCTTTTTCCCTTGCAGGGCATAACCAAGGGGAAATTAATATCTCAATCTACCCATTCCCTGCTCTTTCAAGCCAGGGTCAGAAACCTGAAGTGAAAGAAAACTGAGTAAAAAGCCCAATTCTTTACTCTACAATCGATTTCAGACTCAAGCTATACTGCAAAACAGTCAGTAGGTTGAAGCCACAAGCTGATTTGAACTGTATAGCTTTTTTCTCTTTTGCCTTTTCTTTTTATTTTTTTTCTTTTCTTTCCTTTCCCTCCTTGGATGAATTCCTTCCACCTTTTATTTGGCTAAATACAATCCTAAAACAGATGTGACTGCCCAGCCAAGGACAATTTAGCCATGTAATTTGTTTGAAAAATGGAGGTTTGGGATTCATTTTGCAAGGGGGCAGCCTTGAGACACACCAAAGGATTCGCTTTACAGCTTTTGCTCCCCAGATGAATGGATGATGCCAGCTGCAATGCTCTGCTGCTCAGGGCAGTGGGCATGCTGGAAGCACTGGTGTGACACCTCCCAGGTGAGGCTGAATCTTGCTAGAGGTGAATGAAATTCTGTGTATTGTTCAGTGTAATCACTGCTCTGTGCAACAGGCTGCACAGCACAAAGGAGGGGAATCATTTATCCGTCTACGATTTCTCTCCCAGAGCTGGGCTTTGATTGCTGTGCTGTGTGTGAGAAAGATCAGCTCTGAACCTCCCAAAATGGACAATTCTGCAATGTTCACACTGAGCTAAGGCTCCGATTTCAGGTGTCTCTGAATGTACCAGGTTGCCTCTCTGCAGATGAGGGGGAAGAGGTAATCCTGTAATAGATGTGAAACTCTATTAGAAATGGAACAGAGAAAGCCTTCAGGGCTGTCAGCCATGGACTCATGGGGAATTATGAGTCTGAACCTTATGGAGTCGACCTGGATGGTATAAATCGACATATTCCACTAGAATCACTGGTATTGTGTCAGTGATGTTGGATGGATATATGATCATTCTTGCTTAGAGTCCAGAAAAATCATTATGTGTTGGCTGAACTGAAACTTCATTTTTTACATGAAGAACATAGATAAACAACAGTGCTGACAGCATCTCCATCTCTCATTAAGGTGTATCCCGTGTTCTGATACCTCCTGCAGTTGCTTTAGCTTTCATTTCATGTCCCTTGCAATGCCTTAAGTCCCCCCTTCACCTTCTCCTTCACCATTCCCTCTGCTCCCTTTCCTGCTTTCCAATGTCCAAGTGCACAGCAGCATGCTGCATGTGTATTGTTCCAAGCCACACAGGTCACAGCTGGCCAGTGGCAACTGGTGATCTCTCCAGCATGGTGCTTTCTTTTTCCATAAGCCCTGGAATTAGTGCCAAGTTAATGCCTTTCACACCTCTGTTAAGTCTATCCAAAACTAGCAAATGAATTTGATGTTTGTTATGGGCAAGGCAGTGCAAAGAGCAACTGGGGCATGAAGGTAGAGACTGAATATGTAAATCTCTTTTTTGTGATTAGGCTGAAAGCAAAAGTAGGTGGGAAAGACAAGGTAGTAAAAGAAATTAGCTGGAAAGTACAAAAGTGTAAAGAAAATAAGGGGAAAGGCAGTAATTTATATGGTGCTTACTGCAGAGTGAGAAGTGCACCTCTGCCACCCAGTCAGTCAGATAGGGCTTGTGTGTTCAATTAATTCCTTTTGGAAGCAAAGCTCATCAAAGCCTCTTTACTCTGCACTGTCCCTTGTCTTTTCCTTCCTTTAACAGCCCTGAAAAGCTAGACATCCAGCCTGCTATGCCTACCTTCTGCCTGTCTTCCCTGAATGAGCAATAGGAGGAACAAAGCAGCTCAGGGTTCATTAGGAGCAGTGCAAAGACACATCCACTAGCACTGAGCCTTGTATGTACAGAGGCTCTGTCACATCTCAAGTGTATGCAGAGGTAAATCCACTTCCAGGGTGGGATCCCATACTTCACAGAGCACAGTGCCCTGCACACATCTCACTTCCCATCAGTCACAGTCTCCTTGCCTTGTAGTTTGTGAGCCAGCAGAGGCTGATTTCTCAGCACTCACAGGTGCCATTGGCCCCTCAGAAGCTGCCCCAGCAGCCAGATAATGAATTACCCTGTCATTCTTGCCAGGCAGACACCACATGGGATGGCTGCAGAAGCAGGGCAAGGCAAGGGGAAATAAGGTATTAGAATGGAGCAAAATTGTGTGGATCTGTGTCTGCACAGAGTCAGGCTGTCCACGTTCACCCAGCTGGTAAAGAGGGAATGAAAACTGCTTTTCTGAATCAGTTCCAGCTTGCAGCTAGCCATCTGCATTTGAAGCTCTCAGCCTTCCCAAAGTGTGGAAGAAATGGGACAAAGCAGAAAACAGAGGCATCAATCTGAGGTCTGTTTCTTTCCTGGGAACAAGTTAAATGCAGAAACCAGGGAGAATATTCAAGCTGAAGGGAACAGGCCTTGTGCATGGCGATTGTTATGGTCAGTCTCAGGTAACCTCCAACAGTTCAGGAAAGACAAGAAAAGAAGAGGACTAGAAGGGGCAACTGTGAGGGCAGAAAGAGAAATACTAAGGAAGCAATGGAGTGAATCATCAGCCCCTTCTGACATGGGCTTTCACAGGGGTTGCACAGAGCTACTGCTGGCAGGAACAGAAGGCATGGTAAGGAAGAACTCATGACTGAGGTAGGGCCAAACAGATAAAAACTCCTCAGATCAGAAGGCTCCTACGACTTCATGCTGTCAAGATTAAGGGCTCTTTCTTCTACAAAAGCAGCTGGCTCATTTTACTGCAAGCAGGTAAAAAATTCCTGCTGTGCAGGACTAGTGTTCTTGGTAGTTCCTCACAAGATCTGTACCATCACTGAGCTGGCTTCTCTAATTTAAGCAGCTAAACCCCATAGTGCTTCACCTGCCCCTTCACACACCTTGCACAGCCTGGACTGGCAGTTTTGAACAAAGCACTTACCTGGCAGCAGATCTTGTCCGTGCCCTGGCTGAGACCACGCTGCAGAACATGAATTTCCCCATGCACCTACCATGCACCAAGTTCAGCCCATTTATAGGAGCATCTCTAGGTGCTTCCAAAAAACAACCTGTATTTATGAAGTCTGCTTGCTCAGATTTCAGACTTTCCTTTCTGGGTATTTAGCCTCCTTATCCAGGAAGGAGCCAGTTTATTGCAACCTATTCAAGACTGCAGTGCTTCTGAGTCTCACAGACCATTTTATATGTCTGAAAAGCATACTGCATGGAAAAATAAAAAAGTTGATCTGTTTCCAGACCCCTCAAGGAATAATCCTACTGATATCTGTTAGAGCGAATTTGTGTCTTTCTTGTAGTGATGAAATGCAGCATTTTGTCCTCCGTCGAACTTAGAGACAAAGTATGAAACTGGATCCTGGTCTTAAACTTCAGCAATATCTCTGTGACTTTCTGACCCAGGGACTCAGAGAAAACTTTGTTCTTCCACAATACTGAATTCTCTCTAGAAATCATAATTTGCTTCTTCCACATTTCTAGCTGACTGTCTCTTTCTATTGATGCTGATTTCAGTGGGGAAAATCTTTAAAACTCTGGACTAAAGATATTTTCTATTAAGCTGACAGCTCCAGGCCGGATTGTCTCCTTGCCTGTGCCAAATTTGAACTGACAGATATCCACAGAAATGCATCTGATCAGCAGTTTAAAGAATGGATTTTTTTTTTAATATTCCTAGCTCAATGTTTTTCCCCAGCCTGCCCCCAGCTGGTGAGAGGAAGGTAAGAGTTGAGTTTAACATTTTATTAGACTTTGCTTTTGCTCTTTCTTTAGGTAGTATCTGCAATGTTATCTAGCAAAGTCCAGGGATACCCCAGCAGCATGTGTTTTCTATCCTCCTGGCTCCTGCCTCCACAGTCGTCTTACAGCAAGAGAAATTTTGTGAGAATCTAAAATACTGGGAAATAGAATCCACATAGATCAGCTCTTTTGTAGCTAAGTGTTTGCCTTGTGGCAGCAGCCCTCTAAATAAAATAGAATTTACTCTTTCCTTACTGGTCTAGGCCGTGTCTCCCTCAGGAAGGATTTCAGGTCTCCTCCAGCCATGAGCTCCAGCAGGATGAAGCGGGGCAGGGCCTGCAAGCTCACCCCGATACAGCGCACGATGTTCTGGTGGTTGAACTTGCTGTGGAGACAGGGACACCCAGTTGTGAAGTAACTTAACTTTGACCCAAAAAGCACAGTAGCAGAAAACATTCAAACCTTTTTGCTGCATGATATGTTGTTGTTGTTGTTTTTCCCTCCCCAGGAAATAACAAATCTCAAAGGTAAGACAACTGGATAAAACTAAAGCACCCTTGTACTCTGTGTCTGTCTGGATAGTGCAGAGACAGACAGAGGTGGGGAATCAGTGGCTTTTGGCTGCTTTTCCTCTCCCTGTTTTCTACATTCTTTTTGGGTTATGGCAAGACTTGTGGGGCAGAGGAAACAGAACATGATAACAAAGAAAAGTCTGTTCTTAATTTTCCCATCCAAGAGGCAGAAGATGGGCTAGGGCAATGTTGTTCTAAGTAACACACTGACATGGGGATCTGCTTGTGGGGGATGTTTCCTGGGGTTTAGTCTGTAATACTTCCTTATTTCCCTGCCTCTCAAATATGATGGGAAGGTAGTTCCATGGATTCTGGGATTCAGACACTGAAACATGACATGATAGCAGCAAAGTCAATGCCATCTGTTAGTTTTGACTAGTCAAATCCAAATTCCTAAGGTATGTTCTCCTCTCTAGGAGAAATAAAAAAAAAAAAGATCTTATTATCCATTCTAACATCTGGGCTTTAAGTTTCTCACTTTGGGTAACAAAAACCAATGTGGATCCTTTTGAAAAATTTAACCTTTACTCATTTGGTGCCTCTTCATTTGTAATAGGAACAGAAAAGGATGGTAATTCCTATTCTTTTTGTGCTAAAACTACTGTATTGATGTGCTGAGAGGACATCACCTATGAAGAGCCCTTTTTTCTTTATTTTGTTGGGCTTTTCAAGCCTACACAAGTGGTGATCATATGATTCATACACACCTAATAATGAGAGCTTCCATGAGGAAGTCAAGCTCATCTTGCTCTGAACACACTTCTGGTAATGTCTGGAAAAGAAAGAACAGGTTGACAAGGAGAACATACTTCAGTTCACAGATTAGAACACCTGGCACTAACAATGTCTGCAGCAATCCTTCTTTCTCAAAAGAAACCTCACTCTAAGACAGCCATTAGAGCATTGCTAAACTAGACTGTGAAGCCTGTGGAAAGGCAAATATCAGAACTCCTGGCCCACCAATGCCACTGTCATTCTCCTCCCAGCAAAGGAAATAGCCCAGAGTGCACAGAAAAGTGTTCAACATATGGGACTCTGCTGTACAGAGGATGAGGAATGAGATCCTCTTCCTAAGTTCTCCGCAGTTCAATGATCTTACTTTCCAGCAAGACTGGGATCTATAACCAGCAGCAGAACTGTGCTGCCATGTAATCTCTAACAGAAAGCAAGCCAGCTAGACTGCTGAAGGCCTGGAGAACTCTACCAGGGTCTCTTAGGATTTAGCTTCACACCCAATGCATATCCATCCGGTAAGGGAGTGGTGATATCCCTGGAAAACCAGCCATCTCCTACTTGCAGGGTCTTTGATGTATGTGCCAGCAGCTTTTGGCCCTGTGAAGACTTTTGGCCTCTGACTCACAAGGCTTTGGACAGATTACCAGCCAGGTGGATGGAGAGGATGGACAGAGGATGGATTTAGCTCAGTCCTACGGTCTACTGTGGCTCTATGGGAAATCTTTGCCCGTTTACTATTCACAGCCCTCTTTTAGTAGTCTCATGTAGCCATATGCTACAAGCTGTACCATTGCTGTGATGGATTAAAGTGTTGCAACACAGCACCAACATTTCTAGCCATGTCCTTCAGGACTTATAGCAACGCTTCACTCGTCTTCATTGTTATAATGCATTGGGACTCTTGTGAAAGGTGCATGAAATCATCATGATAACTCATACACTGTCACTTACTTTCACAGCCACCTGCAAGGGAGTGGGGTCGCTGGGGATCCCTGTCACCTGACCTTCATATACCTCACCAAAGGCTCCGTGGCCCAAACCCCTGGACAGACCAGAGAAGACAAGAAGGTTTTACTACAGAGAACACACATTATAACACTGAGGACACAGCTCACAGAACGGGCTCACAATTTTCATGGCAGTGTAACAGAAAGAACTGGATATGGACAATATGCAGGGAACCAGACCTCGGCGAGGTCTTTCATGGACCTACATTTTATTTAATTGGAAGGGAAAGCAATCCATGGAAGTGAACATTCCCCAGTGAAATCGAGCTTCTGGCATTGCAGCACGTAACAGAGAGCACTCATCTATGGCTTTGGTATCAGTGCTCAGTGGTGGGTGCTCCAAAACAGACCAATAAAGAAAGGACTTTAGTCTTGGTGTTTACACACCCTAAACACATTAACAGTTCCCCTGATATTTCTGCATCACCATTAAACAAAACATTGAGAAAGAAACTAGGAGGCACAATGATTCTCAAAAGAACTGAATTCTACACCAAATAACTTTTCCTGATTTATTGTGTGATTCTGGGCAAGTACCTTAGCCAGTAAATGGTCATGACAGTGCTTTGTAAAGCACTCAGCTCTAGGAATTTGTGCTGAGAATTGTTTCTGGCAGTGATCATATTATGAAACTTACAGTTTTATTTTGAATAAGATTACAAGAAAAAGAGAAAGGAATAAGAGTAATCATACAATAGATCTTGTCCCATGTTTTTGTGATACAGATTTTACATACCCGTATATTAAGTCCTCACTCTCTTAATGTTAAGTCAGCTAGTACAACAATAGCTATTTCACATCAGTGGCCTGTCATAATCACATGGTGAAATGTAGCAGAGGATGAGGCTACACCCCAAGTCCTGAGTCCCTCTTAACCCTGCATGGGCTGCACATTGGGCAGTAGTATTTCCAGCCTCTAAGAGGCATTCCTGCATCTCAATCTGGAGAAAAGGCTCTCAATAAAGCTCTCTGCTACAGCATGCACTCTCCTGTTAGAGCCAGGTTTGGACTGAGAGCTGCATTGATTCTGTTCTCTGCTGCATCAGTGGACTGCTTTTGCATGGGCTGTTGTCCTCCCGTCCATATGAACAAGGAAGAACAATCTGCTCTGCTGTTCCATAAGTTCTGTCTGTAGTTTTGTCAGGATAGAACCAGTCTGGGCAGTGAAACCACACTGAGGACTCATGTTGCCTGTGACTCAACCACTTTGTGTAATAAGATTTTGTTAGGTGTTAGCCGGAGACACCATTCTTGGCTCTGCCTGACCAACCTATTACAAACTGAGGGGATAAACCAGATCTTTATAGCTCATAACTCACGGCCTTCCAAAAAGTCCACTTTCCCTCCCCTTGCCAATTCCCAGCTGTATCCTCTGCTATCTGCTTTCCACACTTCAAAAATCCTTTCGAAGTCCAAGTGACAAAGGAAGCAGCAGCACAGGGTACACTGGAAACCCCCAGGTGCAGTCCAACAAGATGTGCAGGTGAGGGGGAACAAGATAAGAGACAGCAAAACATTGCAGACTGCTTAGACTGCTCTGAGCATAATTTTTTTTCAGCACCTTAAGCTTCCTGGTTTTCCAAGGACTCCTGCTTCCACTTTTTGTTTTTTTGTGTAACACTGCATGGTGCCAGGGTACTGTCACATTCACAAGTATCCTGCAGTAGAGCAAAGTGTGCAACAACTCTGAATTTTCAAGTTTTTCTTAGGAGACACTTTTAAGCTTTCCAGAAGTTCTCATGTAGAAGTGATTATCTTGCTGGCTTTATATCCATGTCTTTTTACTACTGTCTGGCATTTTCAAATCCATTGCTTTCCTTGCTATTGCACTTAAGGATGTCATTGTCTTTACCAAAGATCCCATCAAAGATATAAAAGAGCCTCCTACAAGCTTCAGTCATCCCAGAATTTCATCAGCTCATGGCCATGGGCCATTCACTGCATAGCCTGTAAAAGATGTCACTGAATTACTGGTGATGGCTATTCAGTTCTCCTGACAATCCCAGGAGATGAACACGGCACCTCTAGAAGGTCAAGGTTGAAACTTGCCAAAAATGCCAAAATCTAGTCCCTGCCACACAAGCCTAATTACTGCAGCTTTACATTGTATGAAAAGGGGTATGAACCTCAAAGTACACAAGAATTTGCATGTGCCTGTACAAAGCTGTGTGTTCACACCTCTCTAGGAGAGCGAGGATATGTGGGTGTACAACGTGAACACTGATGGGGAAGGCAAAGATGAATTTACCGGATGAGGGAGATGTTTTTTCGAGGCACCTCTTTAAGGTCACTAATGGATGTGGTCTTTCCTGCAAAGCAGTAGTTGGGGTTGTAGTCTGTCATGATGGTGGAGGTACGCAGCTTGCTCAGTTTGTATTCTGGGCTCTGCAGCTCCATCTGCATGGCTTGCAGCTCCTGGTGCTTGCGGCGATACACTAAACACGGAGAACACAGTTAACTACGTACAGAGACTGGATTTGGGATTTTGGTGCTTCTCACTGGGGTTTGCCATGGTGTGGCCAGACTGCAGGGAATCAAACCAGCCAGTGACACTGGTATATTTCTGTATGTCAAAAAATTACAGATAGAAAATCGGATCTGAAGATACCCAGGAACCTTTGATTTACACATCTTATGAAGAAATAGACTTGCTCATGGACTGTCTGGAAAAAGTAAAATTAATTTCACCTGGAGATTTCAGAGTTCACAGTTCTGATTATTTTGTTTTGCTCTATTTAGTTTTACCAGACCTTCCAAATACAACTCCAGTTTGAGATTTGAGGAAGCTGGGTCATAACCAACTTTCTTCACACAGAAGAGACTAAGGTCTGAAATAAATTATTGCATCATATTGTTCAAAATGGATAGCCTACGCAGTTTCCTCAGAATAACACATTGTACATAAAAATTAGCTAATTTTCTAAAATTTCCTCTGTTTCTAAACTACAGAGTAGGACTACATTTGAAGTCAGTTTATGGTGTGCTATATTCCTTGCACTGCTTCACTGATATCTCTGCAACGCCATTAAAAACCACACCTTGAAAGAAGACATCCTGAGGATATTCCTTGAAATAGTAACTGACATTGCAGAATTTTTTCCAAAAGAAGATGACAATCATGAGCAGGTTAAATCACTATTGATTTCTGTAGGAGCTGGATTGAGCCCAAAGACTGTGACAGTAATAGTTATTGCATCTTCTCCAGCAGATGTTGCTCAGGGGAAAAATTTAAGGGGTAAACATGAACTTGCAAAGGCAGATGGATGTAATGACCTATCCACAAATCCTTTCTGTCCTCCATTTTCCTCCTCATTGCCTTTGCTTTGATTTTTTAAATCGTTGCCCTTTCCTGAGATGGAAATGATAGGCTTGTTGGATGGAAAGAGGATTACTCTTCCACTCCTGAGAAGTATTTAGTCATTGTAAAAAGGCACTGTCAGGACAGACATCATAGATGTAGGACCATGTGTGTGCAACTGATAACTCCTGAAATTCTTAAAACTGAAACAGCTGGGCAAATCTAATTTCCTGCTCTAGGTTCATCCCTCTCCTCCCCCAGACCATAAACAGTGTGGACAAAGAAAGGTGGCAAAATCATAGTTTGAATCCCTGAGTGCTCTTCATTGATTCAAATGTATTCTGCTTGCACCAAAAGCAGCCAAGTGATTGTTTAAAATAAGAACATGAAAAGATGAAAAATACCTTTCAGAATTTCAAATAAAAATGCCAAGAATACCCACATCCTACTAAGTGGGCAGTTTGTGAAAGGGGAACCTACGTGACAGTTTAAGCTTAAATGTCATATATTAAGAGGTGAAATCTGTACATGGGCACACAAATAAAGAAGCTTTTAGGCATTAAACAGCACCAGATCTCACAAAACCAGAAGCAGCTGTATTCTGGCAGCTCCACAGTAGAATACAAACAATGTCTCTTTTGAGATGCAGTCAGAAACTGAAGCCTCCTCGAATTGGTCATTGTGGTTAGAAACAACTACAGAAATCTGAAGTTAAGATGTGTGTGGGAAGGTGTCATTAAATACAGCAGTAGCTGAAAACCTGAATCCTTTTGCCTCTCAGGGCCCAATTATCCCTGGCTCAGATCCAGCCCTCATATGAAAATATCTTTTGCAGAGAAAAACTCACCTATCATGATTCCTGAAAAAGCCAAAATTAAAGCAGCCACCAACGCTGAAGTCACTACAGACAAGACCAAGGAGAAAGGGAGACGAACCACTGGCTCAGCTGCAACAAAAAGGAGAAGGAATTACATGTTTGAAATTATCTTCCAGGAGCCATTTTTTGCAATCAAATTTTTTTCTGCTCTTCTTTCCAGTTACTAATCTGCTGCTCCTGTAGTGTAGGAGCAACCTCTGGCATGACCAGTTCTCAGGATCTGTGACTTCTCATACCTCATTGTTTCACTTTCCTCAATTAATATAGAGCCACTAAAACAGATTATTTGTTATCAATGAATTAACATGTGAATTCCCTGGGTGTGAAAACAAGACAATAAAAAAGAGGGGCAGGAAGTTGGGGGGGTGGAAAGAACATTACATTGTCAGGGTTAAAGTGCTGCTATCAATGCCAAATCACACCAAAAGCAGGAGGAGGACTGCAATATATCATCTCCTAAATGCATGTAATTCAGGCAGAAAAGCCTGATAACAGTGTAGTGAAGCTGCATCCTCATGTGGGATCATGCTATTAAGGTTTACATCACCTTGACAAAATAACCATACTTTTTACCCATCTTACAGGCAGGAATGGTAGAAACACAACAATTTTCCCATGCCAGTGACAAAGCTGAAAGCAGGATCCCAAACCCCTGGGGTGACCTGCCCTCACTGCTGCATGAAAGTATGAAGCAAACCTAGTAATGGAGCTCTGTGCACCTGGTTTTGAAAGAAAGGCAAGTACAGGCACTGTATTTGGTCTTTCTCAGAGAAATTTTGCACAGAATTTCTCATGGTTTCTGAAGTTTTACCTTAAATGTCCAAATCCACAAGAATCATATTTTTCTTCACCTTGCACTTTTTTCTTTTTTTTTCTTTAGAGTACTGGGCTGGAATTTAAGTTCAGCTGAGAAAATCCTTTCAGCAAGCAAACTTTCAGGATTTCAGAGCGGACTTTGAACACCAGCACAAGTAGGTACAAACTCTGACTCTGCTCAGACTTGCCCAGTATGCCAAACACAAACTGTAGAGCAAAGCAGCACTGCTGCTCAGTGCCCCAGTTCTCAGGGCTGATGAGGCTATATCCTGGCAAAATGGCTCTGCAGCACACACCAGCAGGAAAGAAGGCAACATTCAACTGCAGCCAGGTTTAAGAAAGATTAGGGTACACTTTCAGGACATCTTACAGTCCAAACTACAGCTTTTGGCCATGCATTTTCTGTTCCACATGTTAGCAGTACCCCACACACCTACTTACCTGTGCAAGAGACACCATCCTCTGCCAACTCTGTGCCTGGCTCACAAAAGCAAATGACTTTTTGAGTCTCAAGATCAACATGGCACTCGTCCATCTCACAGTGACTGCAGTTAAGGTGCAGCCTAATTTCCACCTCTCCATGCCCCTCTGTCACTAGGGAGTGGATGAAGAAGCTGAGTTAATCGCTGTAAAGACCATTATTAAAATTTCCTTGGGCTCACCCTTTTCTTTCCCAGCCTTTATGCCCTCCAAGATCAATCACTGCAATATCTTCAAAACTTTCTGGCTGAATCTACCAGGCTAGAGCGCATCTGTATTTGAAAATAATTCTGGCTGTTCTAAAGCAAACATTTTTTTTTTTAACAAGTCGATTTTTTGTGGTTTTCTGAACACATTGCAAACATATTAAAGACACTGACTTCTGGGAAAACACAGGTTGGAGTGGCAGTATTTATCACTCCCACGCACTGCTGGGCAGCACCTGGATATTTTACCAAGGGATGCTCTAAGGAACTTGCTTGTTAGTGAATAGTCAGGTGTTTTGTCTGTTTCTTTCCTAAAGTATCTGAGCTGTGAGGTTCTGTTATCACTTTCCTTGTCCAAAATGATTCTGTAGGCTGGTAGACTGTACTGCTGGGAGTGTTTCCTAATAGGCCTGATGCTTCCTCTCCCTGTTTTTTTGCTGCTACTTCTGTCTATCCTCTGCTATACTTTATATACTGTACTTTCTATACTTTCTGCCTCCTCATGTTCATGACACTGAGCTGTACTCCAACAGGTTGTAAGGGGTCCTACTCTTTTTAAAATTAAATAAGCCCATGAGAAGACTTCTGACCAATATGAATACCTTTAAGTGCTGGAGTGTATAAAGTACCAATTGGATTAATAAAGGACACACCATCCTCCCCATCCATCTCTGGGTCATTGTCCACTGCAGCATTGCCACCTATGTCAAACCAGAAGTTACCTTAACAGACTGAGGCTCATAAAACAATAAAACACAGATAAATATGGCAACATGCATGAATTCAGCACATTTAGGGAGGCATCCGAATGAAAAAAGAGAAAAATCAAAGCATTGAATATATAGGGAATATTTAGCAAGTTGTGGCATGAACTACTGGACTTTAGTACATCAATTTAATAACAGAAGCTTGTGACAATAAATTAATTAGCTCTGTTTAGGTAGACTGTTGCAAACTAAGGTACGAACTTCATCTTTAACCATTTGGATGCTGTGAAACATACTAGCCCTTCTTAAAATTTATGTAGCCAAGGGACTGGAAAGGGCCAGTACTCCAGGGCTAAGTTAGTACCCTTGCTGATCAAGGTATGTACTGTATCAGCAGGGGGAATGAATAATCTGATATCCTTCCTCTCCTTTGCACCCTTGAAGCAGGGTGGTCCACCAGAAGTGGGAATTGAAGGAATTTATTAATTGCTCTTTTGCATCTGAGCATATAGAACATACCAGAAGCAAAGTATGAGCAATACGTAAGAAATATTAGAAACACAGTATAGGCCATATATTTCGTACTTCAAGCATGCAATGATTCCCTCACCCCACCCAAAAATAGCTTTTTCCCTTTAATTGTCTTCAGTGAAATAAAAAAATGTCATGTGAGTCATTCTGTTGGAAAAAGAAGCATTACACAGGAACATTGGTACAAAACATGCACTTAATCATTTAAACTCATTACTTCCTCTCAAGATTTCTAGTCTACTATTTACTTAATTTAAGCTGTGGAGAACCGGGGGTTAAACAGTCCACCACAGTGCAGATGGCTGCAGAAACTATGTGGCCCAGGAGACTATGGGTTAGTAGAGATCTTGAATCTGGCCCACACCAGTTGTAATCAACATAATGCCATCTGACAGCTGCCCTGAGACACAGAGGCACATGAAATTAGCTCCTTGTTGTCTGAAGTCATATTAAGAGGGGTGCTGGCTGGTAGCCTGAGCCTCTTCCCCCAGAGACCACCTGTGCAGGACCAAGGCCCTCCCACAGCAGGGCAGGGGAGAAGCCGCGTCTTTCCCCCGGCATAAAGCCTGGCTGCCAGTCTCCAGGACCAAAGTCCTCCAGACACAGGTGCTGGCAACGGGAGCACATAGCTGTGGCTCCTCCTTCTCCAGCACTGTCACCCCAACATGAAAGGCTCAGGAATCACAGCAGGATCTTAATGTCACATTTTGCAGAGCGCAAAGCCAGGGTTGCAGCTGGAGGACTGGCATCTGGCTCTTTGCTCAAAGACTAAATGCCATCAGTTCATCTAGTGCTAAAAAAGCAACACACAGACATACTAGTACATAACAATCAAATATGCTAGCTACAGGAGAGTTATCATCAGCATTTTGCTGATCATTAGCACTAAAGGAGGGGAAGGGACACCTTGAACACGAAGCCACTTTACCTATATATCCTCCGCCTCCTCCACCTGAGGAGCACCCCCCTCCACCCCCTCCGAAACCCCCTCTTGTCTCCCACCCCCACTTCTTCATGGCCTGGGGGCAGGATCTTCCTCCAGTAGCACCTTCCAGCAAGGATTTTCCTGACCACAGGAAGGAAGTGTTATCATTCCAGCCACCTCCACCACCTGCAGTTGAGAGAAGAGAAAAAGCACAGCCAGGGGTTACTTTTTGTGTAAAAAACACCGCAGGGATCTGCAGCACAAGCATCCATTCAAAACACAGAAAATCATCATCTGCACCTCTTTTCACCTACCATACAAGGGCGGGCATTTTCTATTGTAAATGTAAAAATATATCCCTACCTACCCTCCAACCAGTCCTTTCTGGTTTACAGAGCCTTCCCCTTCTCTTTGACTAAAACACTTTTGGAAAAAAACAATGTCGGTTCTAAAGTAGAACAAACCAAATTTATTGAAAGGGGTGTAAAAACATATCCCACTCCTGCGCTCTACACAACACTTGTGACTCACTTTCAGCTCTGCTGGTTGCTCAGTCCAAGGTCTCTTCACAGAGACTTCTACACATGGTGCAATTATGCTCTTTCTGCATAAGACAGAGAAACTCAGTACATCCACATGCCACAAAACAGTGCAGGGAGCAGGACAGCCACATTGGCACTGCAAACTCCCACATCAAATGAGAGGTACTGCATTATTTTGGGAGAATGTTGCCATTGCTATGGCTATACCATCTCTGACACCCTTATTTATGCCAAGTATCTAGCACTGTAAGTAGCTTCTATTTCCATCTGTTATAATCCTCTGTTCCCCCTGAACTGTATTTTCATGAGTTTTGCCTCACCTTCTTGTGAGGAGGAGGAATCTGGGAGTACCACATATTCACAAAGGTTTTCTTAAAAGGAACAAAATTTCCTTACCTGCAGCTCCTGAATTTCCATTCAACCCTGGAATAGAGGAATCATTCTCCAGTCTTTCTGGATGAAATGTGTCCGTTTTGGCCCTGTAGGCCCTGCCACCACCCCCTGCTGCAATTATCAAGGGGACTGGCTCTCCGTTCTCCATCTTAACAAATTCAGAAATAAAGGCAATGTTCAAACTGAGTCAGACATATAAATGGATGTTCAGCCACATGATAGTTACTGCAGGTTGCACCAAGCAGGCATCTAGGGCTGCTCAGCACTGCACACTCTCATTGCATTATTTATGCACCCACACCCAGAAAATTAATGAATAGAAAAATCAAGAATAGTCCTACAAAGTTCTGCTACAGGAAACAGCAGTGTCAGTAGCTCTATGAATTTTATCTACCATGGTGTTGGCTCTTAGAAAGCCTGTAATATCCCATGTGGTGACTCATACCAAATTAAACAGCTAAGGAGCACTGCTCTGCACGGTGTCTCCTGTGGCAAAGGACTGCTTGAAACCAGTGTTTGGAATGAGTACTGTCTCAGCTAGCACAGGACAGGAAACATCAGTGGTCCATAGCTACAGCACTGCCAACATACTGGCAAAAACATACTGGCTATCCTCAACTTTCCTTGTCAGGCCAAATGTATAGCTCAAGTCTCACATTCTACAATGACAGAGTCGAAGTCAGTCCTGCAGAATTTACCCTTTGCTGTAGAACTATGCTTCAGCATCTCAGTTTTTATTGTAAAAAAACCAACCCACTTCAACCCATTATGTTTGCAAGGGATACTCCAAGGCACTGAAGCAAGTGTGGCTATATTGCACAGCAGTTCAAAGAAGTGTGAAGGGCAAACCCAGATCCCTACATTTCTCAAGTGGAAATTAGGGATACCTGGAGGTCACTCTGTGGACCCTCTCCCTGAGGTGTATAAAGGACTTTTCAGAGGCAGGTGGCAGGATGTGTTGATGCTGAAGGTGTACCTTACCTTAAATATGTAAGTGGCACCACCCCCGCCTCCACCTCCTCCTGCCCATTCATTGACACTTCTGTTCACACGAATCTCTTCTTCGATCACGTTGTTCTCTCCAATGCAGACTTTCTGGATAACATCATTAGTCTGCAAACAGAAGACCAGGTCTGAATTCAGGTAAGAAACCTCCATTCTCTTGTACACATGGAGGCCTCATGAACCCTTCACCATCCCAAAGCAAGAAATTATCCTCCAGTGATACAACATGACCAGAATCAAGTGAATGCTCTTCTAGAAGAATCTGGCTTTTTGCTTCAACCTTTACCAGAACAATTTGTTGCCATTTTTAACTGAATTATTTTGAAACAAGCTCAGTGCTGATACCTATTATCACATAAAACAGCTCCATAAACTTCTAACATACAAAATTTAGCAGAATTTGCTGTAAATATCTCCCAGCATTAACAGTCTGTATTTCACAAGTGGAGGAAGAGAGTAACTTGGTAAGGATGTGTCTTGTCCAATGTCACCTGACAGCCAAATGCAGAGACAGAGAGAACCCAAGTTTTGTTACTTCATTTCCAGTCCCCCTTTGGTTGGGGCCAAGCAGCCAATGTGCTGTTGATTTTAGTAGCAATTTTACTGCAACTACCAGTACCTACCAAAACAGCAGCAATCCCACCTTTGATTGCAATATTCACCTGATGTTAGTAAAAGTACCTCACAAAAAATCCTCCACATTTCCTGCTTAGCATTTTTTCCCTTCCATCAATTATAACCAAACATGGTAAACTTTCTGTATTAGGCTAATCCCTGCATTCACTAATTAATTTAAATCACAACATTAAACCACCATTTATACCTACTCAGGACTGTGACCTAACTCTTGTTTTGGTTTAAAACTGGAGCACTAAAGTGTATGACAAGCAGGACCTTGCTGTGAGTGTTTTCAAGTTGCAAACTTTGCTTCTAGCTTATTTTACTTTGCAAGACACTTTGTCTCAGTAACACTACCTTGTTACATTGCACACATAATGCACACTGAACTTACTAAACCAACACTTTTAGGGGAAAATGCACAAACCTTTGTTATAGTAGGACTGACCATCTGCTTCCTTCTACTTTCATGTATGTATTTTCTTTTGGAAGAAGAACCTGATAAAAGCATGCTCAAATTCCAAATTGTTCTGCTGACCACAAAGTATCTTCTCAGTTGTGCCAGTGAACGAGTGGCATTCATTTTGTGTGTGCAGACTTGCTTAAAGAACTTACAGTCCTCCTTTCCCTGTTTTTTCTGCTCTCCTTAATTGATTTGGAGTTGGGTGGGAATGATTAATAAAATGACAAAGTCAATGACCCAAAGGAACCACTAGATTACAAAAAAATATAATCCTTCATGGCAAAGACATAACTGATTACAATCCAATCTAGTAAAAGTCCCCTCTATGAGTCAATGCAATCTCTTTGCCTCAATGAAAGAATTACATTAGCACTCAATAAATTCTCACTAAGATTACAGTGGCCTGCAATTTAATGAGTTCATATATTACCCTCAGCAGGAATGTCCTAGTTAAAGACATTGGATGGACGTTTGAGTTAGGTAATTTCTCATTTCAAAAAGGCTTGGTATTAATGGTTTGTTTGTAGATATGTGTAATTCTAGTTTTAACATTATTTACTTTAGCAGCCAGCCTTGAGAACCCCTCTTACTTGTCTATATCCTTCAACCTTTCTCTGCTCTAGCAGACTCGTAAGCTTTCATCTCTTGGATACCAGCCATTATCAGCTGAGAAATGCACATCATTTAAATGTCCAGCTCAAACCTGTAGGTGAAATTTCATCAGATAGTGCTTAGTTTGCTCCATGAGGGTTTTTTATTCCCACATCCTCCTCCAAAGAATACTAAACTATTAATAAACTACTGTGCACACAAATAGTGCCCATTTTTCTGTCATTTGCAGCAAGGGTTTGCTAGTAACATAAAAATCAGGACTGACCCAACAATGATTGGTTTGTCTTTCCTATTCCCATATGGAGAATAACCAAGCAAGCCCTGTGACATGGGTATCTTGAGAGGTGCAGAGTCTGTGATAATGGCAGGGCTGGCCTTAACAGTGGAACAAGGCCAAAATCCTGCAAAGTCAGCCTTGAAGACTGATCTCCAGAGGAACGGAAGGCAGGGTTGTCTTTTGTCTCCACACCCCAACAGAGGTGCTCTGAGATATTCAGATCAGTCAGGAACCTGTTATGCATTATCAATGGGGCCAACATGTTGAAAAGGAGCAAGCACAGGGACATGGTGCTTCATGTTCTCATGCTCTCCCAGTAAAAATGTACCTATTCCTTGACTTCTATAGCCCCACACCCCTTGAGGACAACATTCTTCTGTGTGAAAAGACAGAACTCCATGGATTGCTAGAAGGGATGAAGGCAAAAAAGAACTGCAATCACTTACACTAGGACAAGCATCTTCTCCTTGCTGTCCCACCAAGATATACAGTGTATCATCCTTCTGGAGATCAAAAATTCCCAGCACAGACACTCCGTGGGATCGCACCATGGTGTTCTTCCCTCCTTTCCCACCTGCAGCTCCATAGCCTGAGATGCTGCAGAAAAAAGAAAACGAGAGGCTGCCACCTGAGTTGTCTCAGGCGGGTGGGAGGAAGTACAAACCGCTTCTGAGCACTGAGAATTGTGCACAGCTGAGCATGGTGTCACAAAGACCAGCTCTGAAGACCTGACATTCTAAATAAATCTAAACCCAAAGCCTGAAGAATGTTTTTTCTGCTCTGTTTGAATCTGTGAGCTTGGGTAGCTACTAAACAGATTCTTTCACATTGATTATTGGGCAAACACTGCTGAGAACAGAGTGAGCAAGTCCTTATAGTTTCCAGCTTTAATATATGAAACACATCTTGTTTCCCAGAAGGCACATCTTTGAGAAGTTTGCAGCAAGGAAGAGAAGGAACAGAAACAGGAGAACTGGTAAAAACAGGACATATGGCTAAAGAGAACATTAAGCATGAGGCTGACAGAGGGAGATTTGAGAAAGCAGACAGCATAACTGGTCTTAGTAATATGGACCAGATGGAAAACAGCTCTCTTATTCCCAGGACCAGAGGAATACAGAAAGAAAAGTAGATGGAGGTGACACTACCTGCAGTAAACAAGGAAGGCAAAAGCCCCCTGGCCAAACTCATGGTGGTCAGGAACATCTCACTGTCTCCAGCCAGGAGTGGGCAGGTTACACACAGGCTGCTGCAGTCTCAGTTAAGGCTCTGGGATTTTTATTTCAAACAGTCAAGACTGAGAGGTGCTTACTGTTGCCAGTGTACCCAAAAATGTGGCCGTAACTCTGTATTTCTCAGCTCCTCCCTCTCCCTTTCTAACAATGGACATACTTAAAGCAGCTTCCAGCAAAGGATTTCAAAGCACTTTTTAGAGATCATGATAAAACACACAGTTGTGCTGCAAAAAATCACAGAGTTACTCAACTTTCTGAGCAGGTGAATGACAGTGCAGCAGCTCAGTTTAGACCTGAAATAAGCAGGTAATTCTCCACTGACATTAGTAGCTTTCCATCTGTTTCTGTAAGAGCAAAATTCCACCTGGAGCATGTAACCAGAGACTACAGAACTCAGTACTCAAAAACTGCTTCCTGCCAGGCACAGCTTAGGTGCTCTGCTTTAACATCCCCTTTCCTCCAGCACCTGGATGCTATCTGCCCAGCACAGTCCTGCCTGCAAACAGGCAGTGTCTCATAAAGCACATTAGATCCTGGCAATGTGACATGATTATGTTCATGCCACAGATGATAACCAAAGCAATCAGTCCTCAGTTAGGCTGTACCAGAGCCAGCAGAAAAAGTGATGGACACAGCACTGGGCCACCCTGAACAGATGCTGCATGAATCTGAAGACTGAGTTGATTTGCTGTAGAATTTTGCAATGGCTAATGAGGTCCACTACCAGGCACAGTAAGCTGGCAGGGCTAATTGGCTGCCAGTAGGAGCCATACTTTTCCGTGTAAGAACAGATTTTGCATACAAGCAGTGATGTCACAAAGTTCAGGAAACCCAGTCTGGCCTCATTCAAAGGCTGAAGACAAATAAAACCCAGTATATTCAGGTAACAGTGATTCCCTGTTCAAAATGGGTGTCACTATTTGAACACTTATCTTGACTTCAAACTTTAAGAGGATCCCTTTCTTTAGGAACACCTTTCTTTTACAGAAGGAAGGAAGCCTTTTAACCATATTGGCCCTGAAGAAGGGTTCAGCCCATCCTGAGCAAGAACACAGGGTACCTTCCACTGCCTTCCTTCTTTTCTGTTACTATGACACCTGTGGGATCTTAAAAAGAAGCCCACACCTTCAGGAAGGGTCAGGATGTGCAGAGTGCAAACCAGGCTGCGCAAACCAGGGTTGGAGAAAAACATGCAACCCAACATCCAGGTTATGGGAAACACTGGAGCTAGTCTTGAGAGTATGAGAAAATGCTGTGCCTAGGTTGGCTGACTCAGAATGACATTTTTTTTGAGCACCACTGGGCTGTGTTCTTGTGCCACCTTACATGATGGGACCTTAGAGAAGAGAGGACAGTGCAAGCGACCACAAATGAGGCACTCAGCAAAATGGACCTAAACCTCTTCCTTTAAAAATGGAGAGAAGTCAGATAAAGGATAGTAATGTGTAATTTATTACAATCCACTTCTCTCATACTTGGTCATAAGACCTAGATGACCAGACCTTCTGAATGCTTAGAAGGAAATCTGAAACAAAAAATATTCTTTCATAATGTTTAACTTCATTGTTACACAATGTGAAGTCCCATGGGAGTGAACCAGATATCAAATGTGGGCACTACTCACACCTTCACAGGTGGTGAGGTTTTCTGGGTGTGGTTGGTTTGTGCTGGCAGAGTTTTGTGCAAAATTGAGCTGTCTGTATTTTAGTAATGCATATTCTGCCTCATGTTCAGAAAATCGATATCCTTCTTGAGCAATTACCAGGAGTGTACATTACACGGTGTAAAACACACTGATATGGCAGAGCAACAGCCTTCTCGAGAGCCCAGCAGCCAGCAGAAGGGTTTTCTCCCTGGTCAGGTGTTTCAGCAGTGCCCATCAGGAAAACTTACAGGACCCACACTGCAGCAGGACTGCGGGGCAGAGCTAAACACAGGCAGTAAGTCCAGACTCTGGGAAGCCCTGGAATTGATATTGTAACTTGACATTTTCCTAGGGCTATGCTATGCTGGCGGACTCTGCTGCCCCTTCAGCAGACCAGAATCAGGAAGATGTCAAGTTAAGTTAAGCCCACAATTGCCTCCTGCTTTCCCCAGGCTGTGAATTTTCTACCATAGCCTTAAGAGGTGCAGAAAAGAATGTCATCCCTTTATATGTATGTTATGCACAACATTATACATCTATTATCTATACAGAACCTAGAAGTCTGCTAGGTCATTTATAGGACTTAAATAGACAGGTCATCCCTGCAGGGCCCAGGGTTTGTACTGAGCAGCAAAAAAATCAGCCTACAGCTGCACAGGAATTCTGGCTCTTCTTGGACTCTGATATTAAAGAAATGACAGTGCTTTTGGGCTGTTTTGCCTGTTCATTTTTGGGCTGTACTTTATAACCATATTTACTGGATGCTGGTTCTGAAAAATTCTATTCACCTCAGGCAACTCCTTGTTGATAGCTGGGTAAAATACCATTAATGCTTTTTGCATCACCATCAATCCTTGTAGGAATAGGCACTCAGGCAGAACTTGTGCCTAGCCAAGCCAGTTTCTCAAAACTGCTTTGCCCTAGACCTCTATTAGAGACTGACATCTAGCCTCAACATTAACATTCTTTTTCAATATAAAGGAAAGAAAAAAAAAAAATGGGATCAGAGAATTGTAACTGAAATTTGTTCAAAGCCTTTAATGGAATATTTTGCTTTGAAATCCAAGATACCATCATTGCTTTCAATATGGAATGCTGCATAAAAAACCATCACTAGACTGGTTCAAACTGACAGTTCTGCTTACAAAATGATGCATTTTATGGCTTCATGTTACCATTCAGATACAGTGAACTACACTTTGATTGTACTTCTTTCCTCAGCAAGAGCAAAAAGAAAAAATGGTTGGTAAAAATCTGATTAAGTAGCATTGAATCATATCTGATCACCTCTCTTTGAAAATAACTCCAAGGGGAATTTAAATGTTAGAACCCTCAGTATCACAGAGCCTACCATTTAGGTGGCTGGCTTCCAAAATCAATTCTACTGTGGTAAGCCAGGCTTACAAGCTCAACTTGCTGTGTCTAGATTCAAAAAAGTGAAGATGCTGAGCAGAGGTTGATGCAAGCTGTCCTGTAAGAAATGCTGACACATGATTGTGCTTTCCACACCAAGTGAGGGGTGGGAAAACTCATTCTGTTCCCAGGGCTCAATGAATGACAAATGGGAAATGTATTCCTCTTGGTCTGGGGAGGTGAAAATGCTTCATTTGCAACTACTGATAGAGCTCTCCCAACCTGTAACCATTAGGCTAAAGATCTGCCTGCCTCAGAAAGTTTCTTCTCTCTCGCCAAAAAAGTTACATCTTCCAGGGAATAAATCTGAGAAGGGAGAGGCTGGAAATTACAGGCTCAGGGATAAGTAAAACCCCAGTAGATGTGGCCAAACCTCTGAATGTAACACTTAAAGATGCCTAGCGTGTATCTGCAGCTTGGGTAGTTTCGAACACAGATACATCACGACCGTCAGAGACAGCTCCCTTACCTGTATGTGTTGGTTGCTGGTACTCTCCAGATCTGAATGCCTTGGAGAATGCCTTCAGCTCCCACCACCACTCTGAGCTTGGAGTTCCTGTAGGCATCATTGCACTGGCTCTGTGTGGGGCCATAGGGTCCACTGGCACCACAGGTTGTGAACAACCACTGATCTGAAAGGAGGACACATGCCAAGCATGACCCCAACATCCAAAGACCAAGTAGTTCTTCTGCTCTTCAGCTTCTCTGCTTCTTGGACCAAGAGCAGAACCTGGCCCTGAGGTTTTTACCCAAACAAATACCCACAGAATTCTTTTAAAAGTCTTATAGTTCTGGGTATCTAAGTATTTCACGGTTTTTCATCAACATCTCCAGAAATCTGTCACAATAATAAACATAGTTCTACTTTTCCTAGTGCTCAAAAAGGCAAATAGCACAGAGTAGAGAAAAATCCAAGAGTCCTCCCAGTTTCAAGATCTGCTCTCAGGGCTGTTAAGTGTTCATTCGTAATCTCAAGGCTGGTGCATTTCAGCCCTTTCAGTTTCTAGAGACATTTGGTTATTGAATTTATTTTAAATTGGAAAGTAGCTGTTAATGAGATAAAAACCTGTAAATAAAACACCATCACAGTGATTAAAACATAACAATAGATTAATTGCATTTTGAATAATTATTTGCTCATAGGAGACTCAAATTAAGCTCCTGAAAGCAAACCACCTGACTGTAAAACAAGCATCCAGCTCTGCATTTTCTAGGCCCGATCTGTGGGTGTAAATCAGTGCCTCCCTATTACAGCCATTTCCATCAATTGGAAGAACTAATCCAGTACAAATAGATTTCTAGAAAAAGACTTTGCTAATTTGTTTCTCAAAAAAGTCTTATTTTTAAAATTTGAATTTGAATACATGACAAAAATTTGAATACTGTGACAATTATGTCCTTTTCCTTAAAGATTTATTTTAGGGGCACTGCAGTCCCAAGACCACAATGTTTTTGTAAAACTCACCTTGTCCTATTTTCTAGTATATCAGGAAATACTTAATACATAATCAGAACTAAGATTTAGATGCTTAATAAGCAGACAAAGCATTTTTTGTGAACATTACATGATTTATCAAACATACTTATTAATAATCTAATATACACAATCTAATAAACTCCATTAGGCAGTTCTACTGCCATTAAAGATAAAAGATTTGCAATTCATCTGGAGTGTTTTCTACAAATTATGTTGGTCCAGCTAGCCTTCCATATGGCCCTCTCTAAGGGCACCATTCCTCCACCAGCTTTCACAAAAGCAGCACCACGCATGCAGATTCCTCAGTGGTGATACTAATTAAATCAGACAGGGCATTAATTGGGCTCAATGTCCAGGCCTCAATGATCCTTGCAGATCCCCTCCAACTTAGGGTGTTCTATGATTAGCTTGACCTGCTTCTTGGAATTCAGAGCTATTGTCTAAGCTGATGTGGTCTAGAAGAGATGGTCTGCATGTGCCTGGATGAGCACGGCCAAAAGTTCTACCATTACTATAACTGGAGAGGTTCACCCTCCAGAAATATGAGAAAACACATTAGTTTCGCCAGAAAAAATGTCTGAATTACCTTTTCACAAACTAATCCTGAAGATGAGCTAAATTCCTTCTTACAAAAAAAGTTCAGTGAATGAAATGGATCAAAGAATTTGACAGAACTTTAAGAAATAAAATAACCAGTATTTCTGAAAAATGTTGATAATACAGCATTGTGCAAAGCTACCACTCTGTAAGAAAACTTCCCAATCTAAGCACTGTTGAGAAAATAATCCTTATTGAAAAATCTACACCACCCCTCCTCAAAAATCCCCTGCAAGGGTCCTCTACAGATTTTGTCACTGTTACTTGTTTCATTTGCATACTAATTTCACTTATTTCTCCAATCCTTCTTCAGTGGGTGGCAGTATGAAATCTTAAAATTATTAGACAGCAAATGGAAGAATTTCCCTCTCCTCCTTTGCTTCTGATGTACCCTCCAAAAGCCCCCAAAACAACAGGTAAGAGGGTAAATGTGCCTCAGGAAGAAAGGTCTAGAAGTTAGTAAAGCAAAATGCTTCAGTAGCTTTGAACAGTCTGGCACCAGAAGTTACTTGTTTATCCTTGCAAAACCCACCCCAAACCCAAAGGAAAATCTCACACTAACTGGAAGATGAGAGACTCATTCTGTCACCTATCACAGTGATTTAACACTGCAATACCCCAGTGGGCTTAGCCACCTGCACTGAAACATATGTTTAGTAAAGCAGGCAGGTAAGTGGAACAGTACAAAGCCACTTGTATGTCTCCAGTGAAATATCAAACATGTTCCCAAAGGTAGATGCAGGTGACCTTCAAGGGTACAATAAGCCCAAAACATGAGAGAATCAAAATGGGAAACTGGAAGTGATAAACCTAGGACAGACCACAGCATGTGCAGACAGCTGCTATGGTTAAGCTTCACATTTCTGATTTAGCCCCCTGAAATAAAACTCGTTCCTTAGATATCTGCCAACCTGACCTTGGCAAACTTATCTCCAGATGATTCCACATGTAATACACAGCACAGCTGGACCTGAAACTGGCAGCCCTTGGCTCCCACTGGGTTTTAGGGACTAGGGATCAGTGAAGTACATCTTATTCCAAAATGCTTAGAAATGGCTCTATGGTTCATCGAAACCCCTGGTGGAACAGGAGAATGGCCTTCTGCTGTAGACCCTATGCTTTCAGACTCTGAACTGAAGCAACCAGAATGGCTTTTGTATTTTCTGCCTTTAGGGCAGACTAGAGGGGGCTCACTTCCAGTGCAGAGGCAGTATCAGAGTAAAGGCAAACACTGCTGGCAATTTGAGATTGGTCAATCTGCACTAAGATTTTATAATCTGGTTTTTCAGAGCTTGACAGGGTGGGGAATTAAAAATCACAGATATCTATCTTATGCCAGGGAGTACAATGGAAGGAACCTGGAGATGACTGAGTACAGGAGATGGTATCTTGGATTTTTAAGGTAGTCCTGCTGTAATGGATGGTGGTGTATACAAGATTGTCTGTAAAGCCTCCCAGGTTGTGCAGCTACTGCAGCCAGTGCTAGCAAGAATATCTATTTGCTTTATTCGGTAGATGGTAGACAAGAACAGGAAAACATGTGTTTCAGAACTAGCAGAGCTGGGTAGGGATCTTTGCCCAACACATTGCAGGAGGAAGTCTGGCCCAAGTGAAGTCCATGGAGAGACTGCACCTGATTTAAACCAGCAGGGATTTTAATAAAACCTACAGCCAGGTGTTGCACGATCTCCTCATTTGTCATTGCTGCTCTGATGTGCAAACAGCCCTACTCCTGTTTATAAATACTGGAAGCCAGTCCAACATGGAACAGTTTTTTCATCTGAATTTTTTGTCTTTGTCACTATATTAAATGGGATATAATATGACACAGGGAGAAGTTGCCCCTCATTTCAAGATAATTAGGACAGCTGGATCTTAGTTACAATTCTGGATACAGACTAAAACCCCCACACTTCCCCCCTTACACGTTTCACAAAACCAACCCTCAGTGTGCAGATGTAACAGCAGCCCAAGATCTGAAACCACTAACCCAGTAGCAAAACAGAGTACTGCCTGCCTTAACTCACCACTGCTTTTTTAAAAGTAAGATTTCACTCCCTTTAAAGTATTGATTTTCTCTTGATTCTAGAAATGACTGCAGCATGTCTTATGAGCTTGGAGATAGCATTTCTACAGGTTGCTGCATGCCACAGCAGTTTACAGTAATTCAGTTTGAAACATTATTTTGATCTCCAAAGACTAAAGCAGCAGCACTGAATCGAAAATCCTTAAGTAGCTTGGTGAGAAGCATAGATTTTTTCCATCTGTCAATAACTGTGGTCTGTTGCATAGTGCACAGCACATCCCTCCTTCCTTCTGCAGTGTGTGGCAGGATAACACTGCCAGCATCTCACACACCGGGGGAAGAGCAGCAGGATCTCCAGGCTAAACCTCCCCCAAAAACTAGCAGATTGTGGAATTCTGCCCAGCTTCACACAGGGTACATGTACCCAGTGGCCAGAAACAGCTGAGCATTCCCATGACAAAAAACAACAGGTAGTTTAATGTGGGGTCCCATATATTCTGCCATTGGTAGCTGCAAGATGCTACCCAGGTTCAAAAAATGGAAATCTCTGTTTAAGTTGGGGGGGGGAAAGGTGGAGATCACAGTGAGATTCAGGTTGGGATGCTTCATTTCAGTGAATAATTTATCCATCAGTTCAATTTGATAAAATCCTCCCTTTTAAAAGAAACATGGCAGAGGAAACATTAAGTTTCTGCCTGCTCACCCACTCACTTGCCCTCCTGCTCCCTGGCAAGCTCCCCAATACATTGGCAAGGTCCCAGAAACAGCATTTTGCAAAAAATGTCTTTTTGGCTCTATTAAAACAATTGAAAAAAAAAATTCTTCCTTCATAACTTTTCTTTCCATGATGAATTCACTGACTGATATATTTACACACACAGTCGCTCATCCTTTTGCACAGCAGAAATTCTAGGTTTCACACAGTCTGTCTAGATACATGAAATGCACAGCAATCAAGGTGCTGGATTTCAGCCACAGCCAAAGGGGAGTGATGTCCTGCTCTTGGAAAACAAAATGAACAAAACCCCACAAGACTTAAAATGACTAATTTGTTTGAAGCTCTGATACTACTTGCGGCCTGAGGCACTGCTGCTGCAGGCACTGTTGCAAATAACAACCAGCAACACCGAAGAGAAAACCATGGAGCAAAGCCTAAGGCACATTTGTACTTCTAACACAGAAAGCAATTTCATTGGCACATGTACAACACACAAACTGCATGCCACAAAACAGACAAGAGGCATTTTGGCTATGTCTCAAGGGCCTAAATGTATTAACTGGCATTTGTCAAATCAAGCTGGTTTGAACCTAGTTTAAGCTCATTGCCAACCAAAACTTTAGTGATTTGAGCAAATTGCCAACCAAGCACCATGGTACTTGGCTTATTTTGGAACCTAGAGTAACATGTCACTGAAATGCATCAGTGCTTTCAAACAATATGTAGACAGTTTGTGTAATTTGCTGTGACGACCTCTATTCAGACCAAAAGTCTATTCCTACTTCCAATAGAGTAAAAATCCACATTAATAAGG